TATAGGTTTCCTATAAAGTATGAAATATAAAGTATAAAATGCAGCTGACTTTTGTGTATTGTATTGACTTTATATCCTGTAGCTTTGTGGGATTCCTTTATTTACTTTGCATTTCCCATAATCTTTAGTGTTTTCATGCCACCTGCAAACATTTTCTCCTATCCTGTTTAGATAGCTTTCATTATTTCTTTATGTTTTCTTTATTTTTATCTACTTGCTCAGGCTTTCACTTGTAGTCTTGTGCTGGATACAAGTGACCAAAGCCAGGCATTTTTTCCATGTTTCCATGTTTTCCAGGTCACTTGATCTTGGGGAAACTTTTCTTCATTGACTGAAATTCTGCAAGTGCATGAGCCTTGAAGTCTGAGTTTTGGTATCATTTGATGTTTTGGATTTTTATTTCTCACATGTAATTTTGATTTAATACTTTCTTTACTTTTTATAGAAGTTGAATCTTGGTTTTAAAACTTTATATTTTGAAAATCTGAATCTACTGAAGAGTCATGATTAGGATGTGTTGTCGAATTCAGTCTTAGACTCAACAGTATGCATTGAAGAATCATCCATATCTTTCTGTGGCTTGATACTTCATGTCTTTTGTATGTATGAATAATATCCCTTTGAATGAGTGTCCCACAAAATGCAAGCAGTATGTATGTTTGGCAGGTAAAACAACTGTAGACTTTTTAAAAAGGAAAATTGAGGTGTTAGAAGTTTCAAGAACAGCTTAATGAACTTCCATATACTTTTCTAGATTGATCTGTTTTGCTTTGTTTTTGGACATTGTGTCATATTTGTGCCATTATTTGTTCTTTCTATACACAAACATGAATACCTTATTTTGCCGAACCTTCAAAGGGTAAATTATTGATACCACGACTCTGTAACTTCACATAGTTCTTCATCTAGTTCCTTAGAATAAAGATACTGTCTTGCATTGCTTTGTAGTATAATTATCAACTTAACATATAACTTTGTAATATTTAAAAATTTTTAAAATTAGATTTACACACGTGTGTGCTCCATTTATGTCCTTTAGTGGCTTGTGTGGTGTCAGAGGACAATTGCTGGAGTCTGTTACCTTCTTTTACCACATGGTTTCTGGGGATTGAATTCAGGTCAAGCTTGGTGAAGAGTGCCCTTGCCCTCTGAGCCATTTTATCTGTTCTGGTATAATAATTTTATTTACTGTTCATCCAAAATTGAAATTTAACTATTGTCCCACTAATACTGTACATTAACCTCCATTTTAAATGTTTTGATTCAGAATCCAGTCCATAATTATTCTCTGCATTTAGTTGCCTTGTCAGTGAGGAACAACAGGCTTCATCTTTCATGTTATTGCTCCATTTTGAAACTTGTCATGCCACAAGTCATTTATTCTGTAGTCTTGGTCCCTCATTCAAGTTTGTCCAGTTGTTTGCTGCTAACTGGCGTCTGATGACTTTCCTTGGGCAGTTGCAGGGTCCACTGTGATGCTGCATTGCTACCTACTGCTCCCACTTGGAGTCACTACTTACTTCTGGGTGGCGTTGGTTACGGCTCTTTTTCCAGGACCATGGGTCTTCCAGAAGAATGACAAATAGAAAGCTTCATTTGGATGCTGTATATTCTCTTTGCTCCTGGGAGATACCTGTGTGCCAGTGGTTTCTTCTGTGCCTTCAGAGTGTGTCATGGCATGCCATTTTTTTTTTTTATTGGAACTTGTAAAGCTGTTAACAATTGGTGGTGTCTTTGTGGAAGACTAACACCCTGATTCAGGTGGATCTCTGTGAGTTCAAGGCCAGTCTCGTCTACAGAGTGAGTTTCAGGATAGGCTCCAAAGCTACACAGAGAAACCCTTTTTTAAAAAAAAAAAAAAAAAAAAAAAAAAAAAAAAAAAGAAAAAGCAGTTTTTATAAAAAATCTTTTTAAGTCCTTTAAAATTAAAAAAAAACTACTTTGTGGATGCTGTGTGCATATCTGTTTGTGGGTATGTACATTAGAGTGCTGATGCCCTTTGAGGACAGAGGCATTAGATATCTCTGGAGTTAGGCAGTTGTGAGCTGCCTAGTGTGGGTGCTGGACCAAATTTGGGTCGTATGGAAGAGCAGTATGGGTTCTTAGACACTGAGCAACCTCTCCAGCCCCAAGCTTTTCTTTTATGTGCTTATTTTCAAATTAAGCGATTTAATTCACTTTGCTTTGTCTTTATGTGTTGAATTCTATTGATGTGGGATGGGTTGGGTGCACACAGGGTCTCTCTTACCCTCTCTTCAGGATGCTTCTGTGCTCCTGAACTACTTGCAGCGTTTCTTTAAAGCAGACTGTGTCAGACTGGGCTGAAATTTTATTTCCTTTTTTGTAAGTACTTGTCTAATCTATATCCCCCAAATTTTGACATGGAATACTTTTTTTGTGTTTCTAATTATTTCTTCCTTTTAATTTCAGAGGTTTTTTGCATTTCTGGTTGTCTTTTATTGATTTGTGGTCAATTGCATGACATACATATGATTTGGTTTTCATGTTTTTGATATTTGAGTTTTATTGGCAGTGGTTTTACAGCTTGATATCATCAAAATCTATAGAATTGAATGTGTATAAAGATAATATTTTCCAGCTATTACAGTGCTATATATGTATGTTATTCAAATATATTGTCTTTTTGGGGGTCTGTTTGAGGTATCAGTTACACAGAGAGATTTGAAATAAAATGTCTTTCCAGAAAGGTGTGATTATTCTACATTTTGACTTTTGTATTTTGAGATTATATTACTGGTTACATACATGTTTATCATCTCATTATGATTAGTTGGACTTTTGTTTTTGCTCTAATGTCTATATCTAAATTTGAAAATGACTTATTTTATCCCTGGAGGTGAGGAGGTTAATGTCAGTTAGCCTCTGCTCTCTTTGCTGGCATTCTGTGTAAATCCAGTTTAGAATTCTACAGAATAGATTCACAGAAAACTAGAAAGGATCAAGTAAACATGTAATTGGAAGAATGGTAGTGTATTTGCAGACTTTCAATAATGATAACAAAAAACAGTAAAAATAGATCGTTAAAAACAAGTACTGGAAAACAAACAAAAAACAAAACCAGTACTGAGCTGGGCGGTAGTTGTGCACGCCTTAATCCCAGCACTCGGGAGGCAGAGGCAGGTGAATCTCTGTGAGTTCGAGGTTAGCCTGGTCTACAAAGCTACACAGAGAAACCATGTCTTGAAAAACCAAAAACCAAAACCAAAAACCGGTACTGGCCATTAAGTAAGGATTATACACATTGTCTATATGGTAGAGTTTTGAAAACAAAAGAATGATATTAGTAACCTGATTCATAATTTTTTAAATTTTCATGTAATACATAATTCATAAAAATTACATACTAATTACATGGTTGTCATTTGTAGAATTAGAAAACATGAAACACAGTCATTTGACAACATGAAATGAATCAGTTATCAAAAGTCCACTGAAAAGACACACATGCTAGATGTTTTGCTAGAACCTGAAGTCATGGTCCGATGTATTGTCTTTTAAGGTTTTATTGATGTATTTTTCACACATTTTTAAACAAACTGGAATGATGATGTGCAGTGAACAGCAAAGGAATGAAAACTTGCAGGCTTAGTGAGCTGGGCTCCTCATTGGTGCCAAACTAGATGCACACAGTACAGAGGAAAGAGAATTATAGACAAAAATTTGTTTATAAACACAGAAGGAAAACTTCTAAATTAAATCAAAGCAGAAAAATTTCAGCTGTGCATTGAAAGAACCTTTAAAGTCAAAAGAAAGGTTTATCTAAAAAAAAAAAAAAAAAAAAAAAAGGAGGGGGTTCAAGTTCTTAAGGCTACCTAAGTAGTAGCATGCCCTGTTAAGACTATGAAAAAAGAGAACAAGGAGTTCAGAGTCAAGGAACAGTTCCAGCAGTTAAACATTACTGTGCCGCTCAGTAATATTGTTGCCAAATTAGGTATATTTAGTTAGTAAACAATAAGAGAATCCTGTTAATTTTTATTTCCCCCATTTTTGTAGTGTATACAATGATTTTTTAAAATTAGTAATTTTCAGTCATCCACACTGAAAATTTTTGCTTTTTATTTTTTCTTTTCATATTAGTATCTTTTTTTCTTTTTGAGACAGGGTTTCTCTGTGGCTTTGGGGGCTGTCCTGGCACTAGCTCTTGTAGACCAGGCTGGCCTCGAACTCACAGAGATCCACCTGCCTCTGACTTCTGAGTGCTGGGACTAAAGGCTTGAACCACCACCGCCCAGCCATATTAATATCTTTAGCAACTTTTAAAGTCCTTGACAAACTGGCAGTATTGAAGTAAATTATGTTTTAAGGCAGAGTAACTGAAATTTGATTCTGATGAGCACATGGTTGTTAAAATGTTTTGGCAAAGGTAAAAGGATGGGTGTCTTAAGAAGAAATAAAGGATCGTGTATTTCTACACAGAAGTATGTTCCCTAAAGCATAAGGCAAAGTAGTGCTGTAGAATTACATATGAGAAATGAGAATCTGACAAGTGTACAGATTTTGTGGAAGCATATAGTATTAACATAAATAGGCTGTGTATATATTAGTGTCTCAGAAGTTCAGTTTACTGTTCACTTATTCAAAGTTGTCTTTTCATCTGTACATGTACATACATGTCCTTGCACACTCATACGCACCTGCATATGCAAACATGCAAAACACACACACACACACACCTGTCACCCTAGCACTTCTAAAGGTAGAGGCAGGAGAATTACAGATTTGCCTGGGCTACACAGTGAGTTGAAGGCCAGTAGGGGCTACATGCCTAAGACCCTGTCTCAATAAAAAAAAAAAAATGAATAAATGACAAAAATGATAATGCCTTTTTATACTAGTTAATTTATGCTTCTATAGTTTGGTAAGATTTTTAAAGGTTCTTTGGTTTAGTTTTTTATTATACTTTGAATTTTTACTGTTTAAGAAATATTCATATATTTGTATCACGGTTCATTAAAGTAACTGATATTCTTTTGTTTCAGCTAAACCATTTACTTCTAAAGTGAAGCAAATGCGATTACACAGAGAAGACTTTGAAATATTAAAGGTGATTGGTCGAGGAGCTTTTGGGGAGGTAAGAGATGATTTTTATAGAATGTTTGCTAATTGTTTTATAAAACAATGGTGAGCGATATTTACTTGCAGTTATAATTGATATGGCTGATCAGAAAATAGATTAAAGTTGTGAATGAAACATTTTGCATGGAATGCAAACATTGTTTTCTGTGATGCTTCTTCTTTTAATGTGTACTGAATTTTGTTTCTAGTTTCTTTCCTTCTCGTGCCAAGGCCACACTATCTAATGCTACTTCATCTCCTAAGAAATCTGTTAGAGTTTCTTCCTCCTGATCCTGCTCTTTTCTCTTCTTGTGTTTTCATAGTACTTTAGAATCTAGTTTTTACACACACACACACACACACACACACACACACACACACACGCTCTCTCTCTCTCTCTCCCTCCCTCTCTCTCTCTCTCTCTCTCTCTCGCGCGCGCGCGCGCGCGCGCGCGCATGCGCATGCATACACAGAGCCGGGTCTGGGGGAGGGGCAAGAGAGCAAGCTACAGAGATCTGAAATTTGGGTTAGGATACCATTAAAACTGGAGATGAGTTTATAATTAATTGAAAATTTAAGATTGAGTCAGCTAAACCATGCACAAGATATGTGTCTCCTTTTATGTAGGGCTTTATAAGATTGTAGTTTCAGTCAGCATAGAGGAGTCCACATCTTTTAGCAGGTTTGCTAGATGTATGGTATTCCTGAGGCTATTTTAATTAAAATGGCTTAAGTTTTCTAATTGTTGAAAATTCAAATGATTGCAATTAGCTGAATTTTATTTATTAACCTCATGGCTAGTCATTGTATTAATTTTACTTTTAAAATCGGGAAATGTCATGAATTTTAATAAAATGCTTCGTCTGTATCTGTTGAGATACTAGTCAGTTTTCTCTTTTATTTGGATAATGTGTTGAACTTCATTTATTAATTTCAAATGTTAAATTAACTGTATGTATAAAATGATTCCAGCTTGGTTGTTTATTACCCTTTTTTATGCGTCAGTACATTTGGCATGCTTTTAAAAATGTGTGTATCTAAGTTTTTTTGGGCAGAAACTGGCCTGTAATTTTCTTTTAGTACCTCCATCAGCTTTTGGGGTCTTGGTTCTGCTGGTCTCATGGGAGGAGTGTTCCCTCTCTCAGTTTTTTCTGCAGGCTCCTGAAGTAACTGCAACTTTCCTTATATGCTTCTCAGGTTCCACAGGTGAAGCCTTCCCAGCCTGGAATTCATTACTGAGAGAGTCAATATGTTTAATTTTTACAATAGAGTTTTAAAAATTATGTGTCAGTTTATTCGCCTTACATAATTTTTAGAACTTAGTACTATATTGATCCGTTATTGATTCATATAGTCAAATGAATGGTTGATCTCACTTTTAAATTTGTCTTGGTAGGGAGTTGTCAGTTTTCTTTTTTCTTTTCTTTTTTTTTTTTGATGAATTAACTTTTAGCCTCTTCAGTTTTGTTGTTGTAGATTAACTCCCACTTTTTAATGTTTTATTTTCCTTGGCATTAACTTGCTGTCCATTCTTCTAATGTACTGAAGTGGATAGTTTAGAATATTGGTTTCTAGTTCTTTCAGAGTGTGCATTCTCCTCCAAGCAGTGCTGTCTTGCTACCATTATTGTTTGCTCCAGTTAGCAGTGTGGTTTTACATTTTCAGTGTGTTTTGGTTTGTATCCATGAGTTTCGAAGTTCATGTAAGAACCTCAAGGATTTTCTGGTTATATTTACACCATTGAGTTATAATGTGATCAGAGCTGAGATAGCATATCTTGTGTGATTGGAATTTATTAGGTCAAATTCATTAATTTAGCTATTTACAATTTTCTTTTTGATTGTTTTCTCTTGAGCTGCCATTTCCTAAGAAAGGGGTTGGCTTATTTATTTATTTCATTTTTTCTTGACACTTTCTTTTTTTTCCTTGACCTATTTCTTCCTGAGACAATTTTTCTTTTATTATTTCTTTAAGTTTTTGCTGATAACAAATACAATCATTTGTCTTCTTAATGATGAACTCTTGTGTCATTATAGAATGTTCTTGTTATCTCTGTGATGCTCTTTGACATATATTAGTCTGATATTAGTAGAAATATTTTAACTGTTGGTAGCATTTACATTAACTATCCATCTGAATTCTTTTAGTTTCTTTCCTGTAGCCTTATAGTATATTCTCTACTAAGTGGAATCCGAATTCCTTGCTAGCCTTCCCCTCTCTTACTATAGATTTATGTGACCTGAATTTTAATTCTATATTAATAGAGTTATTTACTATATATTCTTGTTTCTAGCTTCTATACTCAATATTGTGCTTATGTATCACACCCTTGTAAACTTTTTGTCTGTCCTTTGACATTTATGATCTCTTTATTTTCTCATGTCTCTGCTTTCTCTCTGTGCATGTATGTACATGTGTGTGTATGTGTGTGTGTACCATGGCATGCATCTAGAGGTCTGGAGGGCAGCTGTGCGAATGATTTCTCTGTTTCCATCAAGTGTGTTTCTGGAAATTGAACTCAGATCATCAGGCTTGGCAGCGAGTGCCTTTCCCACTGAGCTGTCATGCTGGCTCTGCATCCTAGTTTTCCACTTGCTTGCTCACAGTATTTCTTCCTATGACTAGGCCTTATGTTTGTTTTAGTCATAATAGTGTTGTTGGTTGCTAGAGTTACTTACAGTTTTTGGCTGTTCAGAATATCGCTGTCAGAAATATTCTTATTTACATCCTTTGGTGAGGTATAAGCATTCATTTATGTTTTATATAAACCTAGGGATGGAATTCCTGTGTCCTGGGGTAGGCATAGTTAGCTTTAATAGACAGTGCCAAATAATTTTCTAAGTCCTGAGTCATACTCTCTGTAACACTAGTCTCATTTTCCTAACTTAAGCCACTTTTGGTAGGTATGTAGTGGTGTTCATTGTGACCCCATTTTGCATTTTTTGTTAAGTCTTATTAAAGCTCAATAACTTTTTGTGTTCTTTTATATAATGTGAATATCCTTCGGACAAGTAAACATTTTTGGATTAGGGAGATAAGAGTTGAATGTTATTAGTATATTCTGGATTTACATGATTTTATGGTTATATATGTATAGAAAGTGGTTTGGGTTTTCCTTTCCTGGTAGATCTTGTATTGAAATAAAATTCAATAATTAAACTGTAATGATTAGTGATTTTTGTGTTTAAGAACTTTTTCCTAACCCAAAGATGATGAATATTTTCCTTAAAAAAAGACATTTCATTTAATTGTATGAGTGGTTTGTCTGCATGTATGTATGTGCACTGTGTTGCCTGGTGCCTGAACAGGCCATGAGAAGGTGTTAGATCTCTGGAACTGGAGTTACTGAAGGTTGTGAGCCTCCATGTGGTGGCTGGGAACTGAACCCAGGTCCTCTGCAAAAGCAGCAAGTGTTTGAAACTTCTAATCCATCATTCCACCTGCTGTCATCTTCTTAGAAATTCTTCCTAGAAAGTGCCGGGCATGATGATGCACACTTATAATCCTGGCACTTGGCTGAGGCAGGAGTTAAGCACCAATCTTGGCTATCTAGTGAGTTTGAGGCTAGCCTGGGCTACATGGGACCCTGTCTCAAACTCCCCTCACCCCCAAAAGAAATTACTTCTGTAGTCTTTAAAAACTTTTAAGTCTGTGTTTGTTATTCAATTGGTATTGATTATTTTATGTTTTCTGAAGTATTGTTTACACATACTTTGCTTTTATTGAATTACTCTTGCTAGCACTTTGATAAAGAAAAAAAATCACCTGGCTTTGTAACTGCATGTGTGTTGTGTGCTGCCTGTTCTCTTTTTCACATGATCTTGCTTGTGCCAGCCGCACAATACATTGATTCCCGTGGCTTTGCACTAAAAAGTGTAGAGCAGGCAATGAATAGTGTGAGAGTGCGAGCTGTTTCAGTGGTTCTGGGGCTTTGTGTCTTAGAACTAGTGTGTTCAGTTTCCACCAGGCCAACTAGTTTGGAGCTGAGTCATTGAGTAGATAGTTTGGGAAAGCTGACATCTAATACTATTAAATCTAGTTCACAGACAAGGAGTTTCTCTTTGGAAAAATCTGTGTGCATATGGTGGAGCACTGGTGTAACAGTGTGTCTTGAATTCGGGTGTTGCACCTCAGGTGTTGAATATTGCCTTCCACTATGTTTGAGACCAGGTCTCTTTGTTGTTTGAGGCTCTATACTTAGCTAGCTGATTCTGAGCTACTAGGGGTTCTTTTTCACCTCCCATCTGGCTATAGGAGCACTGAACTCACAGATTGCTACCAAGCTCAGCTTTACATGGGTCCTAGGGATTTGAACTCTGACCCTCATACTTGCATGGTTAGAACTTTACCCATTGAGCCAGTTTCCTCAGCCCTCTTGCTTTTTAAGGTCTGATTTATTTAAGTTTTAGATTGTAGGTATTATGCATAGTTTGTTAAATTTATTCCAAGTGTTGATGCTTTTTTGATTTGATGGCAAATGACTATACACTTTTTATATCAAGCATTATGTTTCTGATATATAGGTACAATTGATTTTTATTTCCTCCTTGTATTTCCTGATGTCATGTTTTGGTCATTTGTTTGAGAAGGACAGTTTCTTTTTTTTTACCTTTACAGATTGTACCTTCCATTTCTTTATCTTGACTTGCAGTATCTACTTAGATGGCTAATGTGGTGTTGGGCTTGTGTCACCAGGTGGATACACTTACCCTCCACTGAAATTTAGGGAGGAGTTTGTTTTAAAAGGATTTAGATTTAAGGATTTTAAGACTTTAATGATTTATTGTTCACTTTAAATATGATGCTAATTGTAGCTGTTTTGGTAGATGTACACTGTCTAATTAAAGAATTGTTCTAATATTAGTTTCTGAAGGTTTAAAATTTTAATCATTAATCAGTGCATCTACTGAAATAATTGTACGGATTTTACATTTTATTTACTTATTATGATCTATTTTGATTTTTATTCACTTATTAATTGAATTATTTGGTGTTTTTGTATATGTATATATATTT